TAAGGAGAGTCACATGGAGAGAAAACATTCTCTTAGGCTTTCACAGAAAGCAAATTGGTCAAGCAATGGTCGTGACTCATCCACATGGCTGACACTGACAAAGGATCTACAAACTGAGGTACAAGGTTTCAGGTTAAATCCTGAGGGGATTTGACTGACCTTATCAGATACAAAAGTTATATTTCTTTTTATATAGGTTTTGCTCTTTCTTGGTCTTAACGATCCAGCAGAAAAGTATAAAAATGAAGTATAAGGGTCAGGGAGATGGCTCAGTGGAATCAGCGCTTCCCTGGCAAGCGTAAGGGCCTGAGTTCAATCCCCGGTTCCCCGCCCCCCCCAAAAAATGAAGTATAAAAAGTAAAGCCATATTAATAGGATGAGCTGTAAAAGGTTCAAGTCAACAACTTCTGACATTGCAAGTCTTACGGAAAAACCACTACTGTTATGGACTACTGGACTATATTGGGATATTTTGCTGAATTCATGTACCTACAGTATTTAAGTGACAATGGAATGCCCTTCTCTGACAAAACTAACCAAAAAAGGGGGATACAAATGAATGACCATTTTGTATCTGCATATTCAAAATAGTTAGGATAGAAAAAAACAAGAGGCTGAGGATTGTGTTAGCGGTAAACCAGTTCTCGCCGGAGCTCTAGGAAGGAAGCGTCTCTGTTGCTCTCGGCCGCTGCCGCGCCACCATGGGCAAGGGAGACCCCAACAAGCCACGGGGCAAGATGTCCTCGTACGCCTTCTTCGTGCAGACCTGCCGCGAAGAGCACAAGAAGAAGCACCCCGACTCCTCGGTCAACTTTGCCGAGTTCTCCAAGAAGTGCTCAGAGAGATGGAAGACCATGTCTGCCAAGGAAAAGTCGAAGTTTGAAGATATGGCGAAGAGTGATAAAGCTCGCTATGACAGGGAGATGAAAAATTACGTTCCTCCCAAAGCTGGCGATAAGAGGGGAAAGAAGAAAGATCCAAATGCACGTAAAAGACCACCATCTGCCTTTTTCCTATTTTGCTCTGAACATCGCCCAAAGATCAAAAGTGAACACCCAGGCCTGTCCATTGGAGATACTGCAAAAAAAATTGGGTGAAATGTGGTCTGAGCAGTCAGCCAAAGATAAACAACCATATGAACAAAAAGCGGCTAAGCTAAAGGAAAAATACGAAAAGGATATTGCTGCATACCGT